TCTCTCTCCCCTCCCCTCCATACTCACTAAATAAACTCTATACCCAAGCTCTCTCCAAAGGTGTATCTGTCTGTCTTCCACTTGCCAGGGACCCGCGTGGCATTAAGTCACCCTCTGCCGCCCCTTATGGGACTGGCCTCAGGTCACCAGCATCATGAATGATAACACAATGTACATATGAAATCATAATTATAGAAATCAGAGTTATAAAATTCAGCTACTTGTATAAAAACCTATTGCAAAGGGAACTTACCCTCATTACCTGAGAAAAATGGTAGAACAAGTATGGTAGATTTAAAATAATAATATTCCACAATGATTTACCATTAATGAGGCTGAGAGGAGGTACAGGTAACCCACTAACTACACAGTGTGGGTAATTACACTTGGCTTCTCTAGTTTATCTGGTTTTCTTAATTAATTAGATTTTTATAAATAAATAAGTCATCAAGGACTCTTAGTAGTATCTCCCCTTCCTTAAAAGAAGTTACAAACATTTGTCTGTTTTACAGACACTAAACATGCCTTAAGTACTCATCTGGACCTAGTCAAAGCCTAATAATTACAAAAGCAATAGCATCAATTCATAGTGAGAACAACATGTAACGCACAGTCAATGTGTGTTTTACACCACGTGCCAAGCATTGACACACCCTATTCTAATTCTCTTAAGAGTGATGAAGCAAATAGTTTGTTATTTTCGTTGGAAAAGCACACAGAAATTAAATAACCCGCTGTGCCCAGCAGTTTACTAACCAAATGAAGTAAAGTTTCTAAATCAGATCTTTTTGAGTTCACAACATATGCAGTTTTAAGAGGTTGGACTGTAACTCAGTGGTCGAATACATGCCTACTACGTAAAAGGCTCTGAGTCTGATCCATAGCAATGGAAACACCAAACCAAATAAAAATTATGCAAACATGGTGCCACAAAACCACGTGCCTTTAATTTTAGAGGCTACAGAAGCCTGAGGACACAGAAGAGTTTTAGGCCAGCCTAAAGTAAATGTGAAATCTTGACTCAAATTAAAATAAGAATCTTTCCAGTATTGTACAACAATAACATTACAAGTGATGTGGCTATACAAGGTCATAGCAGCTAATAAATATTGAGAAAAACAGGTATGGCTGTTGTGGTGGCTTGAATAAAAATGGCCCACTTAAGCCCATAGGGAGTGGTACTATTTGGATATGTGGCCTTGTTGGAGTATCTGTGGGCTTGTTGGAGGAAGTTTGTCACAATCCCTTCCTGCTGCATATTGATCAAGGTGTAGAACTTCAGTTTTTTTCTCCAGTACCATGTCTGCCTGCATGTCACCATGCTTCCTGCTGTGACAATAATGGAGTAAACCTCTGAACTGTAAGCCAGTCCTAATTAAATGTTTTTCTTTATAAGACTGGCCATGTACATAGTGTCTCTTCATAGAAAAAAAACAAAAACAAAACCACAAAAACCAAACCAAACCAAACCAAAACAAAGACCAAAAAACCAAAAATCTTAACTAAGACAGTTTAAGACAGTTGTAGTATGGTTATAGTGATAGTTTAATCTGCCAGTCTTCTTTTTCAGGCAAAAGGTTCTATCTCCAGTGTATTTCCTATATGTTGAGAAGTATTTTCTACAGTATTCCCTATCCAGTAGTTAATTCATTGATATAATACAGTAGCAGGTGACTATAAAAAAGGTTTTTTATAAAGTACTAATTTATGTAAGAAGTAAAGGAACCCTCATGATAATGTATACTTTAATATTTTAGTTATTACTTATGTGTGGAAAACTGTAGAGAAGCAGAAGTAACCTATATCAATAAGACTAATGATTAGTATTTTGTTGGTAGTTGGGAGAACGGAAAAAGGCATAAAATAAGGAGAATAAAGAGCAAAAGTGGGGACAGATGTAGAAAAATTGTTTAATGATAGATTTAAAAGAGGGAATGAATAAATGTATTCAGATATCATAATATCTGTAAGGTCAGCCTCCGCCATTGGCTATATGACAGTAAGAGGAATGCATATGGGAAAAAAGAAAAAAATGAATAAAAAAGCAAAGAAACTAAGTGGTAGGGTACAATGTCATCTTGTTACATTGATCTGTTTTAATAAATAAATAAGAAACAACTGGTAGGGAGAGAAGAGCAGACTGGAGAGATAAAATAAAAACACCCTCAAATGGTCTGAAGATACGTAGGGACATGTTCAACATCCTTAGTTATCAGGGAAAAGCAAATAAAAACAACTTTGAGATACCATCTTACACCTGTCAGAATGGCTAAGATCAAAAACACCAATGATAATTTACTCTGGAGAGGATGTGGAGTAAGGGGAACACTCATCCATTGCTGGTGGAAATGCAAACTTGTGCAACCACTTTGGAAATCAGTATGGCGGTCTCTCAAAAAATTAGGTATCAACCTACCTCAGGATTCAGTAGTACCACTCTTGGGAATATACCCAAAAGATGCCCAATCATACTACAAAAGCATTGAGCCTATAGTTCATGGTCCTAGAGAAGCTAAGTAATAAGGTGGACCCAAAGAAAAACATATATAGACTCACCTGAGAACTGGAAACAGACAAGATTGCCTGACAAAATTGGGAGCACAGGAGCTGCGGGAAGGGGGGTAGAAGAAAGGGGAGAATAGGAAGATGAGGGGAAAGGGGAGGGTTGAGGAGAACTTGAGGGAATAGTTGAGATGGAGGAAGGACAAATATGAAGAATTCACAAGGATGACCCCAGCTAAGACCCTAAGAAATAGAGAAATAGTGTGCTTGAACTGGTCTTGCCTTGTAGTCAGACTGATGATTATCTTAAATATCACCATATCACCTTTGTCCAACAACAGATGGAAATAGAGGCAGAGAATCACATCAGAGCACTGGACTGAGCTCCCAAGGTCCAGCTGAAGAGTGGAAGAAGTGAGAATATGAGCAAAAAGGTCAAGACCATAAGGGGTTCACCCACTGAGACAGTTGGCTTGAGCTAATGGGAGCTCACCAACTCTAACTGGACTGGGAGTGAACGAGCATGGGATCAAACTGGACCCTCTGAATGTTGTTGGCAATTAGGGCAGACTGAGGGGCCAATGACAATGGCACTGGAATTTGTCTCTACTGCATGTAGTAGCTTTTTGGGATCCTATTCTCTTTGGATGTATACTTTGCTCAACCTAGATGTGGTAGGGAGGGCCTTGGATTTGCCACAGGGCAGGATGCCTTGTCTTCTCTTAGAATTGGAGTGGAGAGGGAGTGGGAGGAGGGTAAGGGAGTGAGAATTTGGATTGGTATTCTGGATTGGTATTCTTTTAAAGTAATACAATTTTAAAAAAGTTCAAAAAAAGAAAAACACTGGCAGATACTGACTAGCCGTGGGGTGGGGGAAGGGACAGCAGGCTGGAGATCCCTATAATAATAATAAATAATTTTAATGTAATTTAATTTAAATAAATAAATAATTTCACTCACCTGAGTGTTGTTTTCGTCTTCTTGGTAGATTTATTGCTGTCTCCCTGGTTCTAGCCTAGGCCATACTCTAAGCTGATTTTTTTACTCATCCCATTCTTCACTACATCTCCCACCTGTGCAAAGTTTTCTTGACTCTGTTCTGAGAGCTGTGTTTAGACTATCTATGTTTAGAATTACGAACTGCAATGCAGATTGTTCTCTTCATCCATATGAAGTCACCAATTTATGGGGTTTTTTTTTACTAATTTTAATTTGAAATCTATTTTTTCAGGTACCAGAACAGCAGCTAATTTTTCCTTTCTAGTCCCATTTCCTTGATATATATTTTTCATCCTTCTATATGAAATTTGGGATTAGTTTTGATAGTGATTTACGTTTATTGGAAACAAGTAAATTAATCGTGTTTTTGAATTAAAATATAATTGCATCACTTCTAGTCACTTTCATGCTTCCTTCCCCCTCAGTTCCAATCAAACCAATAGCATTTTCTTTTATTATTTACATACATACACACACACACACACACAGAGAGACATATGCACACAGACATACACACAGAGAGACACACACAGACACACACACACAGACACAGACATACACACACACAGAGACACAGACAGAGACACGCAGACACACACAGAGAAACACACACAACAGACCACACAGACACACACACAGACACAGACACACACACATTCAATCCCCACACTATTTCAATGCCTTCTGCTGCTATGTGTCATCTCCAACTTTTGACAGTCAAGCTTCATAACGGCATTTCAATTATATTTTAATAAATAAAGCTTGCCTGGGCATCGGGAGAGTAAAACAGCCACAATGGGTTACCTCACAGCCAGGCAGTGGTGATACACACCTAATCCCAGTAGCCACACTAGAGCTCACTGTTCATGCAAAGCCACTGCATGCAAAGGGAAGCCCTCTGTGGATTCCAGTGACGTACATAAAGCCATGTGTTGCTGATGGGAAACATGCAAACTTCCCTTGCCTGCTTCTATATAGAGATTCACCATCTTACTCAGAAGTCTCTCCCAAGTAATGTGAAATGAATTCTTTTTCCAAAAGTACTTTTCCAAATGGTGTTTACTATGTTGGATAAACATCACCTATATCAGACTCCAAACATTTCCATCTCTCCATAAGGAAACCCTTTCCCTACTAAGTCCATCCCTCCCTTCTGCCAGTAAGTTCTTACGTCTCTGTGTGTGTGCAGGGGAGGGGGGTGGTGTAGCTCTCCATAACTAGATTATTTGCAACTACTCTGAGGAGGTTTGCAGAGCCTAAACTCGAAGAGCAGAGAAGCATTTCTATTTCTTTCGTGAGAGACCAGCTTCCCGAAAGGCCTTTCCTTTCCTTCGTCCTTCCAGTCAGGTAGTCTTCCAGTCACACCAGCCATTTTATTTCCCATGCCAATAATTCATGGAAACAAAGGTACCAGAAGGGTTTTGGAAAAGATGCCACAGAGCCTGACATTCTGGGCCTCCCCTTAACTCCACAGTTTGAAGATCAAGATTGGCTCTTACCCTTTGCTTCTCTGGGTCCACATAGCGAATTCCGAAGTAGTCCTTTTCCAGCAAGCTGTAGTAGTTGCAGATGTGCTCAATAAGAAACTGCCCTTTGGTCTCCCTCTGCAAAAGAAGTGCATTTAAATTACAGCCAGAGCCCGCAAGCACATCGCATTCCATTCCCAACAGGCCTTACTTACCCAACTAGTTCTGTGTTTAGAACAATGGATTTGGTTACTTTAGACACTACCATAAGGGTTTCCAATGTTTTTTAATTACAACCTCAGCACAAAATAGATTTTACTAGGTGGGTAGATCAGCAATTTTCTGGTTGTGACCAAGTGAGTGACAAGAAGCAGTTGATAACAGGAAAGTCTTTTTTTTTATTCGTGGTTGAACAAAATAAATTAGAGCAGCAAAGGCATCACAATGAACGCATGACTGCTTGTTCATGTCCAGGCAGATCGGGAAATAGAAAGGTGAAAGAAAATACAGCTAGAAAAAGCAAAAACAAATAAAATCCAAAAACCAAAGCCAACAAAAACACAACCACCTCAGACTCCAATCATAGAAGACCACTTCCTCCAGGGAAGCCCCAAATCCTAAAATCCTAAAAGGGTTCAAAAACTCTTCAAATAGTGCCTTCATCTGGGAAGAAAATGCTAAAATACATTGGCCTGCAGGGGACATTTGACATTCAAACCACAAGAATCACACACACACACACACACACACACACACACACACTTTAAATCACAAGAAAACCCAAAGGTGGAATCGATGGGACACATAACAATATCTTCCACTGGTACAAAGAGCTCTTGTGTGTCCTGTTCCATTCTATTACAGGTCATTTAATTTTCTTTGCAATATTCATAACTGAGAAAACATTTGACAACCAATACCGTGTGGGAATCCACAATTTACAATTAATGGTGGCCCTGACTTCTTGCTCTGAATCGTTTTTGTAAATCACTCTTTCAGTTTCCTGAGAAAGCTGAGCAACAAAATAATCCAGTGACTTGTCTAATATTATACAACTTTTATGACTCAAGGTAGGATCTCAGTCAAGGAACGTGGATGTGGAATGTGGATGGATTTCTGCATAACTGTAGTGTCATTCTGGAATATTCTGAGAACACTGAGAGACTTGAAGTGCAGTGAAAGGTATTAGCATATTCTGACTCCCCCAGAATTGTTGTGAAATTCAGTTTCTTCAGTTCGAGAACCATGATAAATCAAAAGAACAGCATACTTTAATAATATTGCTGACAAGGGACTGGAGAGACGGCTTAGTGATAAAGATTGTCTGTTGCTCTTGCAAAGAACTTAGAGTTGCTACACAGTAGCTCACTACTATCTGTAACTCCAGTTCCAGGCAATCCATTGCCCTCCTCTTGTGTTTTTTGGCAGCAGACACACAGACAGACAGACAAAACACACATTATCATACATATACAATAAATAAATCTTCTTATTTTAGTTGCCGATAGATATATGGACTACTTCAGGGTACGTTTTGACCTATAAATAGAAATTTTGAAATTTGAGAGATTAAGGGTCATTGTTCCAAGATATTAAAACCAATTTTAGGCAGAATGTAGTGACACATGCTGTCTTAGTTACTGTTCTATTGCTATGCAGTGACACAATGACCAAGGCAACTCACAGTAGAAAGCTTGCTTACAGAGGGTGAGTACATGACCACCATGGATGAGAGCAAAATAGCAAGCAAGCATGGGAGCAGTAACTAAAAGTTTACATCTAAACTGAGAGAGAGAGAGAGAGAGAGAGAGAGAGAGAGAGAGAGAGAGAGAGAGAGAGAGAGATTTGGCATGGTTTCATGGTGGATTTCTGAAACCTCAAAACCTACCTAGGGTCACAAGTGTGGGAGAGCCAGCCCTGTCCTCACCAGCTGCAGCACTTGAGAAAGTAGTCTCTGCTTCAGGTCTGGCTAACAAACTAGAACTGACCCTGTTGTCAAGGATGTACGTGAACCAGCAGTGAGGATATAAGAGCAACAGAGAAGGATAGCCCTCCCCGTCGTTGCTCTCTGATGGCATTGGTGAGAGAAAGATGTTTTGCCCTCCCTATTCTACCCCTGGCTACCTGTGGCATGCAAGAGACCTGACCTCAGGGTCACTAGAGCGTGAGAACTTGCCCTGCCCTAAAACAACCACAGCACACAGAAGGGCCCTATGCTACACCTGGACAGCACACTAGAGCTGACCCTGTAGCTGGAGTAGCAGGTACCTTAGCTCTGAGGGCACGAGAGCAGGAGAGCTGACCCTGCCTCAATCCCCCACCCCCACCGCCCTGCCTTCCCCCAACAGCAATAGGGAAAGAGGGCCTTTCATCTTGTCTGAGAAAGACAGTAGAACTGGCCCTAGAGATTGAGTAAGGGGGACCCGGGTCTGAGGGCCCCAGAGAAGAACTGGCTCTGCTCCTTGCTGTAGGCTACATTGTGTGAGTTAGCTAAGGCAGTGATGGAGAATTCATTCAGGCAGTGATGATGAGGGAAACCTAGGGAGCTGACCAATGCAGATACCACCCGGGCCCAGAACCAGGGCTATGAGTTTGTCCACCCCAACAGCTACTGAATCTATGAACTGCGAGCATGTGAAGGGGAGGAACCTACAGATCCAAACAGCAGGATCTCCATGACACAGGACAACAACAGGATGTCCAAAAAGAGCCTCAGTGAGTTTCTATTATCCATGGTGTAGCAGAAACCAGAGGCCTGGAGCCAGAGCAATGACCCTTCGCAATAAACACTTACAAATTAAGTTAAATAAACTAAAGGGTAAACTGTGTGTCTCAGCAGGCCATACTACAGTTTCCACTACAAGATTCTTCTTCTTCTCCTTCCCCTTCTTTTCCTTGGTTTGGTTTTGCTTTTGGTTTTTGTTTTAAATTTGGTTTTGTTTTTGGGGGGATGCGAGGGACATGGAGAAAGGTGGGATAAGAATGTGTGATCCACAAAGAATCAATAAAAGTAAAAGAAAATAATATATAAGACTTTTAGTAATAGTGATGCTATATCCAAAGCAAATAATACTTTTTACCAATAAGGAAAATTTACTGTAAATTTCTTGTTTAATTAAAAATACTAAATGAAATATATATATATATATATTAATAATTTAAAACATATTCTAAAAGAATTTATATCCAACAAAGAGAACTTAAGAAAATGCAGAAAGAAATAGTTTAGGCTGAAGAGAGGAATGAGTATTGCCAAGAAACTGTGTAAAGAAATACAAATCCATAATGACCAAAATACAAATTACCACAGAGAATATAAACAACACAATAACCACAATGAACACATATATTTTAACAGCATTAAATATTAACAGTCTTAGTTCTTCAATAAAAAGTTATAGATTGGCTAAATGGATCAACAAATTTCTTCTCTGTATTTCCTGTATAAAAAGCATCTTAGCCTTAAAAATAAGAACCTCTTTGTAGGTAAAAAAAAATCTGGTTCTAATCAACAGGAACCAGAAATCAAGAAGCAATCACTATCCCAATTGATAATTGAGAAAAAGACTTCAAACAAAATTAATCAGAATAGATAAAGAAAGCCATGTTATTCTAACAAAGAAAACACCTAATGAAGGTGACATTACTTTCCCAGATATATATGCACTAAACCCTAGTGTACCCAGTTTTATAAAACATGAAATACTGGATTTAAAGACACAGATTAACATTAACTATTAATAGTAGGTGATTTCACTACCCAACTTTCTCCAAAAGACAAGTCATCTAGATGAAGTTAAACATAGAAACCTTAGAATTAAATGATACCTTACATCAAATGGACTCAAAATAAAGCTACCGAATCTGCCATTCAAATACATGGAAGCTACTCTAAAACAGACTACACAATGGGTTATGAAATAAATCTTTAAAAATTAAAAAAGATCCAAATAACTCTGCATACTGACTGATTATAAGGTAATACAGCTTAAAGCTCACAGCAAACAAGTACTTAGTAAACACACAGCTTCATGAGAGGAAATACCTCAGTGCTGAATGATGAAGGCTCCAAAGATGAAATCAAGAATGAAATAAAAATTTTCCTGGAACTAAATGAAAATAAAGATACAACACAACAAAATCCCTCAGAACACAGTAAAAACAGTCCTAAGAAGGATGTTTTTATCCCTTAGTGTCTATATTAAAAAGAAAAATCAGAAAGAACACAAATAAGTAACTTAGTGATTTATTTCAAGAATTTGGAATGGCAAAAGCAAAAAAATTGAATAAAATTGACTACTTAAATAATAAAAATTGAGTAGAAATTAATGAAATAGGGACAGAGAAAAGGAAGAAATAATGAATATAAGAGCTATTTTTTTGAGATCAACACACCCTTGGATGAACTAGCTAAAAGAAAGAGAAGACCCAAATTATCAGGATCAAAAGTGTACAGGCTAACATACAAAAGACAAAACAGAAGTTAAGAATATTATAATGAGATACTTTATAAACCTGTACTCTATTAAGCTATAAAATAATGTAAAATAATAAAAAACATTAATTTCCCAATTCAGTCAAACCACCATATTTAAACCAAAAGTCCATAATTATAACTACTGGGGATATTGAAACAGCAATTCAAATCCATCCAGTTAAAAAACAAGGCTACGGTCGTAGAGTTTCACAGAAGAATTCTACCTGACTTTCAAAGAAGATCTACAGCCGATCCTATAGGGAAGGGAAGGGAAGAAAGAAGGGGAAGGGGCATTCCCAAAAATCTTTGAAGCCAGTATCACTATAATACAAAAAACAGATAAAGAGACAACTCATATGAAACTATAGACCAATATCTCTGATGAACACAGATTATTCAATAAGTGTTTCCACACCATATTTTATTCATGTCTATATAGACATGAATAAAAAATGACTTACTGTAACCAGTTGGCTTTATTCCTGAAGTTCAGGAATGGGTTGTCATGAATATATCAATAAACTATATAAATGGATCTAAAGAGACGCAGGGGAAAGCCTTTGAGAGAATCCAATATGCTATTATGGCAAAAATCCTTGAGAAAGGACTAGAGTTAACATACCTCAACACAATAAAGGCAATATATATAAAATCAATAGCC